AACAGTTGGCTAGTTCCGCAATTGTCGAAGTCATCAGGCCGTAGGTGCCACTGGGTCCTAAAATTCTTAGTCCAGCCGCTACCTTGGCTAAAGAGTCGGCAATGCGATTACCTTTACTCCTGTCGTGCCCTTTAACCCACCTCAGGATAATGTTATTATCTACCGACGCTTTGGCTAAATCTTGGTGGCACTCTAGTACTAGCCCTGAGGTAACATGTTGTCTGTTCAAGGCTAATACATTGTAATAGGTAAAATAAGCTATCCTTGAAAGATAGACATATACCATTTCGGACTTTCTCTTAGGACTATGAAGGGAAAACGATATGTAACGAATTGTTTTGGTATATCTCAAAGGGATTAGGCAGTATTTTCGATGGATCATTCTCAGCTTCGCATGGGTGGCACAACTGCCTCGACTTGTCACGAGATAATATCGTCATATCAAATAATTACCGAAACAAAATTGGATCACTCCTTGCAATGGTGAAAACCGCATGAAAATCCGTTCGATAATTTTTGCTTTTATCGCATTCAGACTGACAAACGCGGCGGTGGGACGAAACGACTTTGTTTCTGTTGATATATTTCACTTCTGACTATCTCGTAGTAGTACATTAGAAGACACTGGCATGTGTTTTCGTACATTTTTCTAACAGGCAAGTACATGGAGATTTTCAAAACATTCATAAATCCGTTATCTTGTGAATAAATCGGACAAAAAATATTATTTTGCCTTCTTCAACTCCAAGAGAAGTTGTAGTTGCATCAACATTTCTTATCTGTACTTCCAAAAATGTTTTCTGGCATAAAAATGCATATTTCTTTGTTACATTTACATTACTCGAGCACGTCAATGACCAGTCTTCAGGCATCGAGACCTTGGAATAACAGTAAGAGAACAACCACATTCAAATAGACGATACCATATATTTTATATCATTTCATTTCAAGAAAACATTGCTTTGTGTTATAAATATGCCTAATGCCCGACTCTCTGAAATATTTCATATAAACACACTATACTTATGTTAATGTCTATATCGCAACTAAAAACGAATTTATTCAGGAGTAAAACGTATCCAATGTTTAATGACTGTGTTTAGGCCAGGTACTTACTAATAACATTACACGTAATGTGTGCTGCTCAGAAAACTGGCTACGTAAACTTTAAAATTTATTCAAATTGCTCCAAATAAAATATCATTGCACCGTCACTTCGAATTGTTTCATTGCTGCCCGTTAGCACCAACTGAAATAAATATCTGTTCTATAATGCATTAGCTGGAATTCAGGAGCTGTGAATTATTCGGCTCTGTTCCGAGATCTTGGCCTCGGAATAGGAAATACGAAAAAAGAATTACTGTTCTGTAGAATATTTTAATAGGAAAAACAATTGGTTGAATTTCGAATGGAAATTTGCAAGATCTGGATGACAATTACCGTCCCCGCATTATCCACCACACAGGTGTATTATTATGATGAAGCCTTTCTTACATAACAGTTTCAATGTCGCGAATGATAATATTTTGATCGATTATAAAGATTCATATGCTAAGGTTGCAACTTTGCTCCAGTCTCCATACTATGGCAAAATGCCAAAATGCCGTGCAAGTTTCCGTATTTGGAGATTGTTTTATATTTCTATATCCCGTAATCGTATCAATTTTGGTGTCTATGAACTTGGAATATTGAAAGATGGAATTGTGAATACTGAGTTTTGTTATTTTAAAAAATTGGAGTTGAGGTTGAAACAACTTTCAATTCATGTATTTTGTTTGTAAGAAATTTCTTGCAATAAACTTTTATATACGATTTTGTATTCATCACATCTACATTATGAAGATATATCCTCAACTCAGCTCTCCCTAGACTCTTAATTTTGACAATTTTCTTCAATGGATTGATCGAAATGGATCAATCATAATTTGAAACAAAAACAAACATTGGATAAGATAATAGTCTACACGAGTTATGCAGATTTCCCAGTTATTTTCATTATCTTTTTTTGGCATGTTCTAATTATTTTCCTTGCTTCCATTTCCTTCATTTCTTCTTCCGAAATCTACTGAGAACGTATCTTCCAAGGTCCCTATTTATCTGTTTTTAAATTATTTTTCCCATATATTTTTTATAAAATGTTTACAAAATCGCGATATGTGTTTCGCTATACAATAACTTTCTCAACTACTTTTACATGGAAACATTTTATATTCTAAATACATTATTATGATTTGAATGTTTTTTTTTGATCACTTCCTTCCTTTCTTTGGAAGATTCTCTCATCCCTTTTTTTTGTATCAGATGAAGTAGTAGAAAGCCAAAAACTTTCTTTCCCAAATTATTATGATCTACGATACGATCAGATCTGATCTCACCAGAAAATAACGGGTACAATCATTTCAACAAACAAGTCCGAAGTGAAAAGTATTTTATCAAGATTCAGTTTCTATTCTCTAGATGAGTACTTGGCAGCTGACTTCATTATCATGTTTATACTTAGGCTTCTATGCCTTGTCCAATACTATAATTATTATGCCTTCAATGCCCTCAATTTCATATTTTGAATTTTCATCTTATTGTTTTCTTGAAATGTTGTGTTATGAGATGACGTCAATATCTTGTAAACAAGGTCAAATGATAATAAAGATTATTTTCATTATTATTATTATCATCGTTTACCTTCAGAACAATCAAAGAAATGAGCGGATCAATATTTTTACAGACAGCAAGAGCGCACTAGGGGCTCTGACAAACCCGAAGGTGACATCAAAACTGGTCTGGGAATGCTATGAAGAACTGAATGAACTTGCAAACAGGAACAAATTAACTCTGTATACACCTTTCAGTGGGTAACCCCATCTATACAACAAATGGCTTTGAATGTCCGCAATGTTTCAGAACATTCCACATCATTCTGAAATGTTATACGATGAACGTGATGATTTGGAACGTTCCAGACTATGAACGAACATGCCATAACATTTCAGAATGTTCTGATATCTTCTAGAAATTTCTAGAGGGTGTAACTTCCAGCTATTTTACCTTGAAAAACGCGCCCTTTAGATAAAAACGTGAACTTCTTCTTTGATGAGAAATAGAGGGTTATCACACCACATAACTCCTATGATCGCTCCACAATGGTCTGGAATGTTCCAGGATGTCCTGTTACGTTCCAAACTAACTGGAACATTCCAGAATGTTCAGAGATGTTCTGGAATGTTGTGGAACGTTTTCGTATACTATCCAATATTCTAGGCTATTAATTAAATATAGAAGTCGAAAATTATAGTCCTTTTATCTTCAAAATCATGTCTTTCAGGACAAAACTGGACAACTTTTCATGGATGGGGGATATAAGGCTACACCATAGTTTAACATCTTTCATTCCACATCATTTCAGAATATTCTGGAATGCTGTGAATGCTTTCATGTATCACAAAAATAATGTTTTCAACTTTACCCACTGACAAACTTATTCATCTCACTAAAATGAGTTTCATTCAAACTCTCGGTATCAGGCGCTAGCATTTCATTTCAGAAGAATAATAAATGAGGATGATACAGGTTCGGTTGGTAACGTATGGATTTTCAATTCAATTATAAAAAGTCAGGAAATTCAATTATGGATTTTAAAAGCCAAAGCGATGAAAAATCACAAAAGTCACTTTGGACTCCCATATTGGAAATCAATGAAAAAACTATTGTCAAATCCTGAATTAGCAGCTGATGCTATTTGTCATGAGTTTTGTCGATGTTTACTTTAATATCGTTCGACCATTAGAAATTATCGAATCCATGTTTTTATAGAAAATACGGTGAAGTTAATTGAAGCAATGAATATAATTCAAAAGTAATTATGAGTCTAGATATGTAGAAATATATGATGAAAAGAATAACAAAAAATGAATTTTAAAGTCTTTTTAATGTATTTCAAGGAAAAGCTATTTTTCGGGTTTTTTGGCCGTGGTCTGCAGGTTTTTATACCTGACGTTTTATCTACTACTACGGAATACATTATCAAAGGCGATGTCGCAGTTCCAGAATTTGTGCTCGAATTGTTAATTTCGTCGTTCCGACCGCTTTAACTACATTGCTTTGGTTTTATATTATTATTAGTGGGCGTGGCTTCTCTTAATTGGATTACCTGACCTTGTGTATTTACCTTGAAGGACAGGTAGCCAGATTTTATTAATGTTCATTGCCTTTTCTTTCCTATTGAAATTATATGTGTGTTTTTCAATTTCTATTGCCTCTCTATATACGCTTGGATAGTAATTTTGAGTTTTATCAAGCACTACTTTATCTTCGAATGAGTGTTTGTTCAGCTACAGCTGATATGTCGGTTTGTCCGAGACGACAATTTCTCTTGGGTTCTACACTTCTTTTTATGGTTCCAATCTAGACCGACCCGCAGCTACAAGGAATCCAGTATACCCCGGGTGTTGCTTAAGGTTATCTGGATTCCTTACCTGATTTTAGACTTTGTCTGATAGTTTTTGATGGCATAAATATTGGTTTCACGTAATTTTTCTCTAAGAGTATATAGAGAGGCAATAGAAATTCAAAAACACAGGGATAATTTCAATAGGAAAGAAGAGGCAATGAACATTAATAGAATCTGGCTACCTGTTCTCATAGATACACAAATGAGGTCAGGTAATTCAATTGGTAGAAACCAAGCCACGTTCACTAATTACAATATAAAACCAGAGTCAAATAGCAGCATCATAGTAAATGCGTTCGGAACAACTGGATCACCAACTCGGGCACAGTTACTATATCGTCTTTTATAATGTCTACCGCAGTAGTAGACGAATCGTCAAGCACAAAAAACTTCAAATAACGGCTAGCAAACTCGGAAAATAGCTTTCTTACAGTTTTCTCCGGTTGTGAAAGTTTACATTCCTTGATTAATCCTTCACATCATCATAAGAACTATCTGTAGGTGTAGCGAGAAATATCGCGAACAATAACTTTAGAAAATCATCAGATCTACTTACCTGGAACGCACTGGTAATGAGCTTCGAGATATTTATGAGTACCAGCGCATGGATCGCCAAACATGCTGGTACTTGCTGGAATGCTGCAGTTTTGGTTATGGGTGCACCTACAGAATAACCCGATACATGTAGGTACATATCGTGAAAACAAATAGTTGCTTCCTTGTAATCGACAATATTGTATGTTGCGCCAAATTGTTATACTAAGATTATCAATAACATTACTATTATTATTTTATTTACCGTTCGTGCAATTATAATGGGCCTCAATATATTTGGTCGTGCCTGGACATGGGTCCCCAAACAGATCGCTGTTCACATCTACAGTACAGTTCTGTCTATCATTACATCTGAAAATAAATTCTTATCTTATGTTATCTGCTCCGAGTGTCATTTTGACACACACGTGATTATTTACACAAAAGCGATGTTGGTTAGAAAGACTCACACAAAGCAAAAAGCACCCCATAGCTGACCGTACAAACAATACTATTACATTTCCATGTGTTATGTCACAAGTCCCTTTCATTACTTTTATTTCCATGTCTCATTATTTTCAACCAACAATTCAACAATCTAGTTCACCAGTGCAATTTCGCAAAATTTGAGATGTCATTTTATTCGTAATTTTACAGAAAGTGATTTACGATTTACGCATACCAATAATTTGAAATTAATAAACAAAAAACATTATTTTAACCCATGTAATGAGAATATTAAAGAACGAAAGGAGTTGGGTGGATAGTAGAATGAACAATAATTCATCAGCAAAACATTTTTATCGCATATGTCATTCATGTTATTTCTCAATATCTTTTACTGTTCATCAAAAGTGAATGAAATTACGGTCCAAATGACAACTTTAATCATAATTTTCTGACACTGGAGTTAAATTCTTTTCCAAAAAGCAATGCTCCTCTTCATCATTTTGGCGTCACTAAGACAGTAATTGCGGAATCAAGGACTCAATTCAACTTTATTTTCGCGAAATTTATGTCCTCTTGAACTTCAGCTTCAGTAATCGGCCTCGGGTCTTCATCAAAACCATCTAATTGTAATTGGGTAGGAACTTTTTGAAATTTTCCCCGCAATAAATGTTAAATTATGTTCGCCGGTTGCAGTTTATTGAAAATTTCGCTCTTTATTTCCTCTCAGAACTTTTATACGGCTATAAATGATACAATAAAATGTGTATAGTGGCGTCGGAAATTGCATTAAATAAAGCAATCGCCTATTATATCTGAATCGAGAATGAAAATCATAAATTTTGATTTGAAATTCGATAAGAAATGCACTCGGGCTTTTATACCCCACCACAATACAATTTAAGTTGAACAATGTGCACACGGCAACTTACTTTAAAACACTGTTTGCTCTTTCATTCTGTTGGCAAGGATTCATGAATATTTCAGTGAATATATAGAACGAAAGATTTGTGAAGTTTCAGGAAAGAAACCGACTTACCGACTTCAGGCGAGAAATGAAGAAAGTCAAGTGTGTTCAAAACATTCCCGGATTTTCGTAATATAACCGGAAAGTAGCAAAGATGACGTTTGAGGTGACCATCAAAGGAATTGATACCAACATAAAAGATGCAAATTGGCCTTCTTGGTCGTTTGTAAGTGAGTTGAATGACAATATGTTTCCGCAGTTTCCTCTCAGCCCCTTACACAGCGGACACTAAAATCTTCGAAACGTAGAAGACAATATGTTTAATGGAATAGATTAATTTGTAGAAAAGAATAGGTATATATTCTAAGGGTAATATGATTATCTGCAGATCCTTTTTTAACTTCGATTGGTCAGTAATAGTATAAACATGACATTTATAAGGTTTTTTTCCTCACTACCTACTTCATAAAGTTTTTCAGTTTCTTGTATGGTTCCACAAAATAGTTGAAACACATTTAAAAACAAGAAAAATGTATTAGAGTTACCAATTCATATTATTTCATAGCATCTTTTTCTTCTAAAAAAGAACAAGAAAAGACAAAACAGTTACCGTTTGCTTTTAATCTGAAAAAGCTCTTGTTTGGATGATTGTTTGCACTTTGTACATCGTAAAGAGATAGCTATATAAACGGGAGTCGTTGGCATTTCTTACATTTTGAGATCAATTGAAGATGTATCTTTTGACAGTTAACATCGTTCACATGTTTTTCGAAAAGGTGTCAAGGATTCAATTCTTTTATACTACACGAATAGTTATTGTCCTTTCTAGTAATCTGTGGGCATTTCATATTTCATAGTGAATGAATTTTATATCGTAATTATAAATTCAAATCTGAAACTTGGGGAATAGGTCTGTCTATTGTTTGGCGTACTCAAATATCTAAATCGCCAGATATCGGAGTTGATAAATGAAATACAATATATGTTTTAGAAGAATGGTTAACTAGTTTCATGAAATTGACCCAAAATCGTAATATGTCGTTCTTTACTATAAGTGGAATTCAAAAATGAAAGCAATCCTTCATTGAAAGAATAGGACTTCATTAAAAGAAAGGACTGAATGAAATTGGACCGAATGAAATTGAACTGAACATAGAAATAAGTGAATACATTGAAAATATACAGGGTGTTCCAAATCAAGTCGGCACCATTGTCAACTCCGTTGTTAATGCTACGAATTCGGTTAGTGGGCAAACTAGTAGCGTTTTTAATGACATTCTCGATACAGAAAACAAAAAAAAAAAATTACAGAGGCGTTTTCAAAATATTTCATAAAATGATATTTTTTAAAATGGAACACCCTGAATTTCATCCTGCATTTCGATTCGTAATAACATTCTCAACAAGGCTCATATCACCTTTCCTCCTAAAGTTGAAAATGAGCGACTTATGTGGAAATAATTAGTTCTTTCACTAGTACAAAAAATGTCTTTGTTTTGGCAAATGAAACCTCATGATTATCCAAACACTTAATTTTGGTAATACCATAATAATGATGGTAATAATTATAATTAATAGAATTGTTGGTTGAATTGTGTTTAAAGCCACATGTAGTGTCAAGAGCAGGGCCCAAATATGTGTTCAACAAGAAGGCGGTGTTTTTGAATATTTACTCGATATAATAGAGCCCTTTATTCGCCAAAAGAAAGACATTTTTTGAACTAGTGAAATAAATACATATTTCCACATAAGTCGTTCATTTTCAACTTTAGGAGGAAAGGCGATATGAGCTTTGTTATCGCGATTGTTATTACGAATCGAAATGGATGATAAAATATAGAGTGTTCCATTCAAAAAAATATGATTTTATGAAATATTTGAAAACGCAACTATCAATTTTTTTGTTTTCGGCATGGAGAAGGCCATTAAAAATGCTACTAGTTTGTCCATTTAACCGAATTCGTAGCATTAATAATAACAGAGTTGGCAATGGTGCGGACTTAATTTGGAACACCTTGTATACTGCTTGCGGATTGGTTGAAATGATACTGTAAGAACATGGAATGAAACGATGAAATTCAATAGCAAAACTGAAACAACACCAACAAATTAAAAAAACTAAAATTAATTTATGACTGTAGCCTGTATGTCTGTTGATAGGCCTGATCCACAGGATTATTCAACACTGTACCTTACCATGAACAGAATAAAGAGTTTTGCAAAGCATTTTCCATTCTGCTGCCCAAACCAAATATCCATACGGTTTGCCTTTCAAAAACGAAATCGCCCAGAAGAGGATCAGATGCGTCCTAAAGTACAGTCTCATCAAAGGAATCCCCTTAATCCAAGTTCAATCTCGGTTTCCATTCATACCTAATTTCGTAATCCTGTTTTACCAATCATGACGTCACGTCTACCTGATTCCATAAATCTAACCCTTATCACTCGACCGACTGGAGTAGGAGTAACATTTCGAGAAAAGCAGTATATTGTAACAGGGCACTTGACAACAACAATGGAAAAGTTAATGGGGATCCTAAGTCAGTGAAAATTCGCATAGGATAGGAAGTGGAATATTAGGCGAGGAATTTTCAGAGGAAATATTGCCTTATACAATATAATTCACCCAAGACAATATATATTATCTCTGTTTCAGTATATTTATGAAAATGTGAAAGTTTGGCTTTCTTGTTCGATATAAAATGACAGTTGATATTGTTATCCCCCAACGTGGGGATATCCTATAAATTCCAATGTAGATGGATATACTGCATGCTAAGAAGAAGACTGTCATTCATGACAATTATGGAGGAAATAGTGGCGCGGTTAGAAAGGGGGATGGCCCCAAAAGAAGATTGCCCCCACTATTACGGAATCTTGTTTCAATATCTTCTGAACTATAATCAACATAAAGTCGTGGGCTATGCAAACGGTTTTAGTTATCATTCTAGGAATTCTAGGGCACTGACAAAAAAATAGTGATAGAATGGACCGAGGGGGAAGGGTTGAACATAACTCCATCCAATTCGACCCTAATAGCATTCACCAAGAGGTGAACCGCTAAAAATTTGAATGAACTGTTTGGAGAGATTAGGTATCTTAGAGAACCCAGATTGACCCTACGTAAATAAAATAAATCGTACATGTACTAACCTTACACAAATGTGGTTAAACCTATGATGACAAATGAATCTTTGGTTAGGTGGCCAAAAATGATCGCTATTATCAAATTAAGCAAGGCGCTTGCATGGAAATATGAACATATTGGCTGCATTCAGAGCAAAAGGCATCGAGACTGGTCTGAAAATATTATGAAGAACTAACGGGGAGTATTTGATTGATTATATTCTGGGTGACGAATACTAAGAGTTACTGGCATGAAAAAGCTGGTAACTGTGCTAGGCATGAATCATTATATATGAGCTCTGGACTAGCTATGGAGGTGCCAAAATCATTGAAACGAAACACTGATTTCTAGAATTACAATTAGCTGCAATATGAGGAAAGAATCAGAAATGTTCCACAGTGACATGGATCGGCAATATAAGCACGGGTCTACTCACTAGATACAGCATATATAGATGATACCTGAACAACCTTTTTGCTGTAGAATGAATACCTCATCTAGAAAAGCAACAAAGGAACAAAGACAGGTTGTCGTGTTGCTCAAAAAAAGACAAATATCCCACAATAGAATCTGTATGAACTAGTACAA